TATGAAGATTCAGTTGCGGAATCTGAATTTGAAATCAACAATCGTTATAAACTTTCACAAGCCAACATCATCGATGAGCGAAGTCTGATTATTGAATCACTACTAAGTATGTCGAAGACATATTCGTACCTACACATAGGTACACATAATCAAGGCTCTTTTTTTCTTTTTCAAATCACTTTCTCTTAAAATAAACATACGCTTCATAATCATATTTTTTAATTTTGTGCGACGTGAAATTTTTTCGATAGTCTCATCAAGGATATAATAAATATAAATTCATACAATAATATGTGTACAATACATTATACTTCATTTCGTAAAAAAAAGAAAAGAAACAAAGAATGTATGGTTACATCAGAAAGATCGTCTATTTCTATTTTGACTATAGGGCATTTTTTTCTCATTTCTTTTTCTTTTTCTTGTATTTTGTTACTCGGTTGCCGTGCAGTTTTGATGATCTTCACCATTCTCTTTAGTTTGTTCGTTCTTTTAATTTTTTGCAACACTTTCTTCACTTTGTCAGTCACTCTTATTTGTTCTTTTACATATAAAGAATAACAAATTGAAATATGATTTTGTGACTGACTAATTGAAATTGTATATTCGTATAGAAACGTGAGAAGAAAAAATAAAAGAATCGCTGTAAAACTTAATTTAAAGATTGAAATAAGCTTATTTATCAACATACAATGACAACACCGTCAAAATCAGGTGGTGCGTTAATCTTTTTTTGTTTTTCTTTGAATGTTCGAAGTTTTTTATTTAATTATTAATACTATTTTGTTACTTTATTATAATGATTTATATAATCAATTAGGTGAGAAACGTGGTTCAATGTCGCTGGCTAGTAGTGAAGCTTCACTATTGACAGTGCCTGGTTCCACTCGTACACGTCGAATGTCAACAACAAAAGTAATTGACCAACGTCCAAAACATTTAATGTTAGGTGATTTCGAATTAGCTAATGTTGTGTAAGTAGAAAAGAATTGATCTGAGAAAATTTGAAAAACAGATATAATTTATTTAATTATAGAGATTGTGAAGAATACGTACTATGCTGTAAATACAGTCCTATAGGAGATGTATTTGCTGTTGGCTTAGGTAATGGCACAATTAAAGTAAGCTTCAAAAATGTTGAATATTGATCTATGCTAAAGCTTTTCTTTCTTTATCACATGTTACTATCGGAATTATATAGATTCGAATAACTTTCATTGCTTTTAACATAGAAGAAATGAGTAATTCATTGTATATCATTTGATATATAAATATGCAATGAAAGTAAATCTTTTTAAATTCTTATTTTTCAATTCTATAGCATTTATTTTGAAAACTATTTATAAATTTCATATGTGAACAATGAATAAAGGCAAAAAAACAATCATAGATCTTATAATTTTCATAACGATAAAATATGTTGTGCATCAGGCGTTCATGAATAATGCATGGATTAATAAGCCTATCTTAGTGTTTAGAGCAAAGAATTCTACTAATTTCTATGAGGTACTATTGAGCAATAGTCAAGGATCATTTCCGATCTGCCGAAAGAAAAAAAAATGTCAAATATAATAGAACTCTTTATTTTGTGGTACTCACATATATTATTGAATGGAACTTTTAAGCTTGCAACTCTCCTCGTCTCTTCATCACAGATCCTAGCTATCGAGGACAACAGGCGTCGGACTCTTTTCCTAGAATTCCTTAGCGACAAGAAAAGGCATTGAATGATATTAACAAGACTTGGACTGTTCTAGAACATTCCAAAGTCTTCTTTGATATTTGAATGGCTAGAATATGTTTGTGGATATTCTAAACAGTGCAGTTTTTAATTTTTTGTGCAGATAAAAATTTATATTTAAGATGTGAAGGATCATGCGCGGTCATACGTTGATTTAGCATAGTTGTCATATGATCAACATAAAAAAAATGTGAACTAATCAAGTTATAAATTAATATTAGTGTTTCTGAATTTATCAAGATATATTATAGTATGTTGAGACATGCTATTGATATAACAGACTTATTTGCCAGTTAAATCAATGGTGAGAATAATAATAATAATAATGTTAAATCAAACAACAACTAGAGTGCTAGTAAAAAAATAGAAAAAAATTCTGCTCGAAATGCATCATATTTTGCATTAGTATAATGATGCTAAAGAACACACGTGAGTTGCACGTTTTAACTCCAAAAAGGACTAAACTAACAATCTTCTTGTTACACATTTAAAAAAATGAAACTATTTTCACAACTAATTAAAGAGTAAAAATGATTCTCGTTTTATCAAACAGAAATCATTTTCTAATCTCAATGGATATACCCAGAAAAATAATTTTTTTTCACAGTCTGTTAAAATTATAAAATATTCTTATGATTTTTATCATTTTTATTAATATTTCCGTACAATTCATCAATTATTTATATCGTTTGCTAATCAACTTGTCATCGAGAACAACTATTTTCATATTCATTTTTATAATATAATTATTTTACTACCGACAAATAGGAAATATCTGTAATAATATACTTGAACAAAGGAAAAAGAAAACAAATATTGTTTTAACACACTTAAAAATCAAATTATATATTCAAAGTATACCTAAAAAAAGTTTATTTGCAGAAGAATTTCTAAATTTTATTTCTAAAGATAAGTGATTTATACGAGGATTATATTTTATTTCGTATCTTTTGCAGGTCTATTCAAAAGCAGGCCAATTTCAATATGTTCTTACTGATGATGATACAAAAACACGACGTAAATAAGAAAACACTGTTTTAACAATTGACATTTATTTTTAAATGAAACTTTCCTTATTTATTTAGGTTATCCAGTAACATGTCTTAAATTTTATGGAAACAAAGACGATGCAAAAATAGATCATCAAAAAATGTTAGCTGCTACTTGTAAGTGTAGTTTCTAATACAAAACAAGAAGTTTATTGTGTTGAAAATAATTTTTATTTTCTATAGATACAGCTGGTTATGTTAAAGTTTGGCATTATCCAACTCAACAATGTGTTTTTACATTCGATGAAAAAGATCGACAACCATTAGCACTTGATTTTAATTATAATTATACACGTTTATATGTTGCTGGTAAAATATTTTCTTAGAAAAAAAAATGACACACTTGTTTTTATATTTCTTTTGTTTTTTTTTTTCTTTGAAATTAGGTAGTGATTGTGTAATTAATTGCTATGATTTTAGTGCGAAAAAATTACTTCGCAAATTACAAGCATCGTAAGTTTTTTGTTCTTTGATTAACACATTGAATTTTGTGATTGAAATAAAATAAAATAAAATAAAATAGAGAAAGTCGAGAAAATATGGATGGTCATAAAAATCGTATACATGCTATTCGTTCACATCCAGCTATGGAAACTGTTTTTCTTACGGGTGGTTGGGATGAAACGATTCATTATTGGGATGAACGTGCACCACATTCACAAAAACATTTTGCTGGTCCACATTTATGTGGTGATGCGTTGGATATTATTGCTGAACATCAAGTTATTTTAACTGGATCATGGAGAAAAAATTCAACATTACAAGTATGAAAGGATAAAAAGAAAAAAAGTATTTATGTTTATTAAATTATATATAGATTTGGGATTTTTCGACAGGTGAATTAATTAAAGATGCTTTTCAAAATAATGCAACTTCTATGGTAAATTATATTTGAATTATATTATTGTTTTATTCGTTTTTTTTTTGTAGCTTTATTGTACAAAATTCTCTCCGAAAGAATATATTTTATGTGCTGGAAATGATAAGAATGAAGCAATTATTTATGATTATTCAATATTACAGGTAAATGATATAATATTTAGAAAAAATTTAAATTGATTTTTTCTTTTTTCATCTTTTGGAAAATGAATAGATGGTTGGTGGTATAACAGATCTTGAAAATGCTGTTTATTGTGCTGATACAGATGTAAATCGACCAAATATGATTGTTGGTTCAGCAAAAAATATTTTTATTGTCAATGATAAATCTCGACATAGATAAACAAATAACATTATGTATTTTCTCAACTCTATTTAAAATGTGTGTGTGTTTCTATTTTTGAGTGCATTGTTTTCTATTCTTTGACAAATCATAATAACCAATCATTTGAATACGCCAAAAAGAAAAAAGCTGGAATTCTACAGTAACTTTATAATAAAACGAAACGTAAAATAAATGCAAAATTCTATGAAAAATTATCAATATGAAGTATTGTATTTTCTTAATTCATGATAAAGTCTTTCTTGATTTCGAATTCTTATCAATGATAGATAAGGAAAATGATCAATGAGACAAATTAAAAAAAAACTTATATTATTTTTCTATCTTTACAGTAAAGTTTTTGTCATTGAGAGATCGATAAGTTTTATAAAGCAATACAATTGTGGATGTGAGTGTTGTCGAGAGGGAAACAACAGAGACCTCAGTCTTGAAGTCTTATGAAATCTTAAGCAGTATTTTGAAACTCTTGAGCTATAGCTTTTAATATATGTTGAAGTCTCTTAAAGTCTGCTGTTTCCTCCCTCGGATGATGAGAGTACGGGCATGTGTTGAGAAAAAACGGTACCCACATCCAACTCCACTAAAATATTTGGCTTTTGTTCGTTGTGTTCAATAAAAATATAATCGTTTTCAGATACAATATCGTCAATAATAAATAAATTTTTCTTTATTCAGACTTCACTAATCGAACGAATGTTCGGTAATGAATCAATCGGAAGGAAGTAGAAAAATTTTTTAAATAAATCTTTCTAACAAGCAATCAAATAATACATATTGTATTTATCAAAATAAAATTTAATTGAAGTGATAGTTGATGTAAAAGAGTATCAAAATGATTTTGCAATGACAAACGTCTACTCAATGAAAATAAATTATTTACTATATAGATAATAATAAAAATTAATATTAGTAACGATTGTTTAAAAATATATATTTCGACAAAAGAAAAGCGCAAAAAATCGTTAGAATTATCATAGATGATATAAATATGACTAGTAATAATTTAATTGAATTCAATTGTCTTGGTACTATCTTTCTCATTCGAGAAACTTCTCTTAATCGTTTTCCAAATACTCTTCTTGGTTATATTTATATTAATATTTCAAAAAAAATAACGATTCATCATTGTTTTTTTTCCTCTCCTATCTAGGTGATCCAAAACGTCGTGGTTCTTTGTATAACAAAGTAAAACAACAATATATTATTGATCGACATATTGTTTCTTTTGAAGCAATTATTAATTATTATGAAACAGGTCAATTAATTGCACCTACAATTTATGAACCAATTATTTTTTTTGAAGAACTTAAATATTTTCAATTAGATGATGAAACAATTCAACATTTTTATAATAGTGAAATACATGAAGAATTTATTGATCATCAACGTATTGTACCATCAAATCGTATTTTACGAGCTATTTGGATTTCATTAGAATATAATGATTATTCATTCATTACACAAATAGTACAAATCTTATTAAAATAAATAAATAATAATTTTTCTCGAATATGTCTTTAGATTCAATTAATTTGTTTAATTATTTCTTTACTCTATTGTTTTAATATTTCAATTGAACTTCTTCCACAATTATCAAGAGAAAAAGTTATCTGTTATAAATCATCTACTAATCATCATCATTTAACTAATTGTAATAATATATTTTTTGATTTTCGTCCATCAAAAATTGCAGGTCAATGGATTCTTAAAATTGAACAACGTTTGTTATTAATGTAATGATTTTATTCTCAATTGATCATTTGTTTTTCTTTTTCTTTTTCTTTTTTTGAAGTATGTACTATTTTTATTACATTGGAATATATTCTTCGTTTTCTAACATCACCTCATAAATGGCTAACATTAATTTTATTAATAAATATATGTGATTTATTTACATTATTTGTTAGTTGGATTTATTTAATATTAATTAATATGAATATATCAAATAATGATAAACAAGATTCATTTTTTTATATAAAATTATTTCAATATTTAATGCTTTTACGTTTATTTCGATTTTTTCGTCTTTGTCGTTATGTTAAATCATTACGAATACTTTTTTATGGAATTCAAAATGCATTTAAATATATTTTATCTATTGGTTTTATAATACTATTTTTTGTATTTACATTTGGTGTTATTATACAAATTATTGAAAAAAATTGGGATCATGCTTATGTAACACGTCTTGAAGATTTATTTAATATTGTTACTATATCAACAATAACTGTTGGTGATGCTAAACGTGTACCATTGTCACCAAACGGAAAAATTCTTTGTTCATTTCTTGCTGGAATAGGTAATTCAATTCATACACAGTGTCACTCAAAATTGATCATGCATATTATTGATCGTGTTGTTTTTCTAATATCTTAAGATGATATCAACATACAGTGTTGTGGTTTTCACTAAAATTTAGTCTTGTTTTCATAGTCTATCAGCTCATTGTGTCAAATATTTACTAACTTCCTCCCCCTTCCCACATATTAGAAGAATCGCGTCTTGTAAAAAAAACTCTTTGTTTAAATCTGTTTAACCTTTTGTTTTTTCATTGAAATATATCTTTTTTTTCTTCGGAGAAAGAAAAACGCTATTGTCAGCTAGAGTGAAAACGAGAGAACTATGTATAAATGGTGCAAGAAGGAAAGAGCGATTAAGGGTGTTCCCTCCCTCCTTTTTTGGCCATTTCTGGTCCTCGAAGAGAGTACAATCAATTCTCTTTGAGAACTAGAAATGGCCAAAAAGCGGCGATGAGATGCCCTTAATATTAAACTCCATTTGTATCAACAGTGATATACATCTAGTGAATATATAAAATACGAAGGAACAACATCGTACACTCTTTTGTGATGATGAAGATTCAAATTTTGATAATTAAGACAGTTGTAACGATGAAACATACGTTGAAATTACTAAGACAATTGATGAGTATGAAAATAAATTACTATAGGTTTATCGACATATTATCTATTGGAATCTAAAAACGGTAATGAAGCAAAAGAATATAATGAAAAGAAAGCGATAGTTCAAAAAAAAAAAGAGTTCACATTTATTGTTACACGTCTTCAATCACAACAAAATGAAATAGATCAGTTTATGAGAAAGTAAAATTCAACTGTAGTTCTTTTTCTTTGTATTCTTACTGCGTATTTGAAACATAATCATAGTGAACTAACTAAAATGTAAGAAGAATATGGGATCTTTTATGGATAGGAGTTCATATTAGAAGATCCAGGGTCTGTTATGATGTGGAAGGCGGGAAATATGCAAGATTAGAAAGATACTAAAAATGGTGTACTTTGATATTTCTCAAAATTGATCATATACCACAAGCAAACATATAAAGACATGTTAGGATTAAAATCTCGTATTTCATCTTTTTAAACGAGAAGTTGCATTTTCTACAATGTCTTGACTAAAAAGCAAATGAAATTTCTTTAGAACGTTTTTCAAATGTGTCTTCCTGCTAAAAAGAACTAAATACGAAATATAATATTTAGCCATTTTTGCTTGTGGTGTATGATCTTTTTTTCTTGAGCAATATTGAAGTACGTCATGTTTAGTATTTCTAGTTTAGTATCGTGAATATATGACATCGTGAGAGGATAAACTATAAAAATAGAACTACATTTTAGCAAAAATTGTAACTCTATGTATTGAAATTATCTTGAAATATTAGAAAAAAAAACAAGACGATCTATTAGGTTTATGATAAATTTTGAATGCTTTTACATGATCAAAAATAATAAATAATGATCTTCGTTTTTTGAAGGACTAATTGGAATTGCTTTGCCAATACCTTCTATCTATCGACAATTTCAATCAATTTATCGATTAGAAAATATGGATAAAAGATTTATTATTCCTGAATATGTTTATTCGAATGAAAATCTAGTTAAAAACCAATGATGACAACAATAATGCTACTTACAAAAAGGATAAAAATGTTTATTTTAAAGATAAATAAATAATAAAAGTTCTTTGAATTGTTATTACATACGTACAAAAAGATATTCTCAAGTGTAACATCCATAATAATAAAAAAAACACTGAACGATTATCAGCAAATTGAATGCACTTTTTCTTAAGCTTTCCATGAGTATAAACTTCCAATTCAAGAAATACGAGCAGTTTTCGACCGAAACTAGAAAAATCTGACCACCGGATTACTGCTTCCAAGTTCCTATCATTATTTCAGTCGGAAACAGCGTCTTTACGGCAAGAACCTGTTGAAAATTCACAGATTCGAGCGCCAAAATCATTGATCTGAGCTCGTAAGAAAGCAAAGAACAAAACAAAAATAGCATGTGATTGTTTGCGAATGTTGACCGTTTAGCAAAAAACGGATATCTTTGCCTAACTATATCATATAAAAAAATAGTCTCTAGGAAGAGAATGAAATACTGCATAATAATTGCAATCATAAGTACTATAATTTATGCCGCCAATATGATCAATGAGTAGATGATACACAGAAAAATTGATACAATAAATATTAAATGATCTGAAAAATTTGTGTTTTTCTAGTTCTGATCTTAATCTCGTAATTTTGACCTTACTTATGAACCGCAGCAACTTCCTTTCATATTTTATATAATTCTTTGAATACATACAAAACTGATATGAATGCTTTTGATTCGATAGTAGTATAAACATTCTTTTATCTACATGTATCAGAACGGACGAATACATAAGAAAATACAAAGTCTACATTGCACTAAGAAAAAAAAAATTCTATACAACTATTTTTCAAAAACTGCAGGCTTCAAAATTGAAATCATTTGTCAGATCTCAACTGATATTACTCAAATATGATCATCAAAATATAACCATTAAATTAGTAGATAGTATTACTTGAATGATGAGTAATTAATGAAAGACAGAATGTAATGAAATTGATAATTTTATGTATTATCTTGACGAAATAAAATGAATCAAACAAAGTTTTATTCATATTGTGTTCAATTTGTTAAAATAGAAATTAATATAACGATTCTTATTTATGAATTATTCAAAATCATATCATTCATAACAGATTACATATAAATAAATAATCACAACACATCTTTTCTCTATATGACTTAATTATAGAACGTTTATATAGCATTTTATTCCTCAATCGAATAAAAAAAACCAGTTTTCCATTGAAATTATGTTTTAAAATTAATTATGCCAGCTGTACATAAAGATTTTTATCACCAAAAAAATGAACTTTTCGTTGTTATCTTACAACACATCAATTATCATAAATTTCATTTTAATTATATCGATCTTTTCTTCTTATCTCAGTTGGAATTCTCTTATGTTTTTATTTTCAATTCAATTCATATAGATCTAAAACTATGCAAGACGAACAAATTGAAAATTTTCTATCGTTTTATATCCTAATACAAGAGAATGCATCAACATTTCTCTGTCTCTCTCTCTCGCTCTCTCTTTCTCGATCAATTTATTTTTAACACACTTATTGAGTCAACACTAGTAGAACAAATAACATAACTGTTTCATAAAAGATTCGTTGGCAAATGAAACCAAAATCAATTTAGTCAAACAATATTCAATTGATTATATCTGTAAAAGTAAAAGAAAATACTAATACTGTAATTATTTGTCGACTATCCATCATTAATAACAGACAGCAAAAGAAAAGCTACAGAAGAATTTTGCTCTTTTGTGTAACGAGTTTTGTATATATGCGTGTTGTTTCACATGTGTATCGTAATGATCTTCGAGCAAATGTCAATGTCCACCACGACTATCAAGTTGTGTCAATAATGAGCGACATGTTTTGTACAATCTTTCTATTAAACAAAAAAAAAAAAGAGAAAGACAATCAAGTCACCTCTTCTTTTGTGAATCATCACAAGATTATTGCGCAAATGTCTATTTGTAGTCCGAAGAAAAAGATGAAACAAGAATTAATCTCTATCGTGTATGTGTGTAGGTGATGATCGAATTGATTATGAATGTGGCAAAAGTAAAACAAACAAACAAACATGATCATCGTGTTGGTCTGGTGAACATACACGCGTGCCCTATCAATCATTTATCTTTATTTCTTTTTCTTCTTCTTCTTCTTTTTTTTCCTCATTCGCATTTTCGGAATGGAATTTGATTGGTAGCCGATAAGCTTTTACACTCTAATTACTTCGTGTGGGTAAGATATAGTGAAAGCGCGCAAGCTCGCACGAGCCTGCGCGTATATGAATCAAGAAGATGAGACGTTATGTTGTTCCAAGATGGTATGCATTTCAAACGACGATAGATAACGATTATTCTCGAACGAGCCAAAAAAAAAAATAAGAAAAAAAACTGGCATCAACAACATGACACATACTCAATGGAATTTTAGTTCTACGTGATCACATAGAATATAGAATCGAATAAGGCACAATCATTTTCTTATTTTTGTATTTTAGTTTTTCTCTTTTTTTTTTCAATGTTATATTAAGATGGATAATTGGTAAGATATTAATGGATATATTTCGACATTTTTTGAATTAGTATTAAGTTTTCTTCATACATGATAATCATCCTAACATTCATGAAATTATTTTAGATTACTTATATATGTATGTACATCATCGATGAGTACTAATACACTTGTTAATGAAAATTTACCTGTTAATAATACAACATCGACAACAACATTAAATAATGATGGTCCTATAGCACACCTTGATCATATGTTAAGTACACTTCATGATGACCAACAAACACGAATGCCATCAAATATATCAATTGATACATTTGATAATAAATCACATCGAATAAATCATCGTTCAACATCACGAACAGCAATAACTGATGGAAAAATTGTTGAATGTTCATCAGAAAATTCAATTGTTTATCGATATTATACAGGAGAATCAGGTTCAATTATTGAAGAACATTTTGATAAGGCACTTAAACAACCAACATCATTTAATTCAACAAGATCAATATCAACACGAGGTGAGTATAATTATATATAATTGATTCGTTAGAGAACTTTTTAATTCCTCATTTTAGAGAAAAAAAAGAAATGTGAATTAATCAATGTAAGCTTATGCGAACGAAGCAAAGATAAGATGATAAAAAAAAAGAAACTGCACTTTTTATAGTTCTCGTATGGAAATAATAGTATGAACAAATTCTACATAAATATCTATATGAAGAAAATCTCACAATTACGAGTAATACATGTTCTAATATGTCTATATCAGTAGTGGAGCCAGAGGGCGTTCAACTGTTCCGACGGACATTTGAACCCTTGAAAAATCTCGCTAGGGAAGATGAGCCTCCTCTCTAGCCCAAAATTTTGATTCCGCCACTGGTCTAAATTACTACATTACAAGATTTTTTTTGTTTCTTAACATTTTTGAATTCTACGAAAAAAAAAACTCTATTTAGATCCTCGAACATCATCTTATGGTTATTCAAGCATGATGAATCCATCAAGTAGTTTTTGGCCTAATTTTATGACATCACCAACTTCATATCCACATCCAACTTATCTTCCTACATCACAAAATGAATATACTGATTGGATGCATCATCATCATCATACATATCGTTCACCTTATTCAACAAATTCAACAACAACAACACCATCATCATCATCATCAGCTATTTCAAACAATCATTTACATTCAATTGGATCACCAAATAATACAAATCTTAATAACAATACAGGGCGTTATCATCATCATACATCACCCGATATGGATGTTGTGACAGCAGCAGCTATTGGAGCTGCAGCCGCTGCACAAATGTTTCATCATGAAAAACAATCTCATCATGGTTATACACCAACATCTCATCATTTTGATTATCATCTTGGTGGATCAATGATGGCAACAGCATCATATGCATTTCCTCCACAGAGTAAAGATTTGTTGTTGTTTTTTTTTTCTTCTTTTTCGTCTTTAATTATTTATTGATTTCTTCGTTTTTTTTTCTTATCTAGGCTTTGATTTAATGGGTACAGGTACATCAACAATGGGTTTAGAAAATCCAAATATTAAAGATTCAACAGCATCGACACCTTGGTATTCAAATCATCATTTATCGTGTTGAATAATAAAAGAAAAACAACAATCATTTCTTCAGTTTATTTGGTTATAATTACATAAATATATATTTACTAAAAAAACATAAAGAAAATATAACAATTCTTTTTTTTTCTTTTTCCTATTGTAATTTATTCAAGATGTAATTGAATTATTTCTCGTTGATTACGTCGTTATGTTGTAAACAATACTGCGTCATCTTCGATACGTAAACGACAATATTGTTTTAACTTTTTTTTTTTCTTCTCTAATGTTTGTCTCACATTTTGCGCTTATATAATTTTTATCTATTAAGAATGTAGATAATTTCTGTGATGTTGATATTATTCATTAAAGATTTATCATCATCACTGTTTTATTTAATTTCATCTTGTTTATTATAATATTAGAATGGCTTAAATAGATGATTTTTATTTTCATCAAATTAATTATCTTTGAGAAACAATAGAAGATGATTGTATTTTAGGTTGACAGTTTCGGATATCTAAAAACAAAAAAAATTTTTATCAAGTCAAGTATTTTTCTCATGAATTTTTATATTTATATTTGAATAAGCAAAATATTGTTCGATGAAGTAAATATAAGTCTTACGGGAAATGTAATATTAGCAGAACATTTCCGTAAAACTAAACCAATAAGATTCATCAAATGGTTTGTAGTGAAGGTAATTTTCTAAATACTATTATATAGAACGCTAGTGCATTTTTCCAGAGTATCTGTGTTGTTTAACAATTGAATATTGAGATCTATAGTACGATTTTTAGAATATAACACTTATGTCTTATAGTAATAATATGATTCTCAACTTTAGCGAGTATTCGAACAATTAAGGAAGAAAAACTATTCTAACATTCAACGACTCTAAAAATAAAAAAAATTATCACATATTTGGTGCTCACAATCCATCTGTATAAACTAATTGAAAAATATTGTCGAGAATGGCTATTAGTGAATCTGAGAAGCATAAGAAAATTGATGATTCATTGTAGTTTTTCTCAAAAAAACTACCATAGCTTTGCTGATAAATCCTCAATAGTTTAGCAATTCTTCAACATTATTTAAAACTCTATGAAACTATTTTATTTTAAGGCCTATAATGATGTTATTTATTTTTCAATTTATTTACAACATTTTATGAAGATACTTGAAATACATTACTAAAAGTAAATGTCTATGAAAAATTCATATATAGGGTATGACGTTAAATGAAACTTTCGCAACATATGGGCATCAATGCTTGAGAAATAATTAATTAATCATATACAACGTAGATTCAAGATGCCTTTCTTTTTTTTTTTTTTTTTTACATATTCTATCAAAGATTTCGTAATAAGACATTAAAAAAAATAATCGAAAATGATTTGAAGAATATTTTTTTGTTATTAATATTTGTAGATTACAACATAATTCTGATAAATTAGAATTGAAGACTGAAGACATTGAACATTTCAAATTTCTAATTGAATAAAAATTTCTGTGAATATTATTATCATATATAAAGAAAAGAAAAATTGTACGTATGGATTCATGTATTTATTCGACTTTTTCTAGTTGATATTTTGAGCTAAACAAATGACATTTTTGTTTATGTATGTTTTTCTTTATTTATATTTAGAAGTCTTCACTGTTGTTTTAAAAAAACAACAACAATGATTAAGTGTTTTAAAATAACACAAGTCAATTTCTTTTTTGTTGAGTATTTTAAACTTTTTCTTTCTTTATCTTCAGTAAAAAGATCTCAATAATTCTCAGTCAATCAATATCGAAAATATTACCAAATTTGCTTGGGATAGATGTTAAAAGTTTTCCTACAATAAAATCAAACTAAAAGGAACATACGAGTCCTGTACGTGCTGTTTTTTTTTTCGAAAATACTCCCACATATATACAGAGAAAAAGAACGATAATGATAATATGAAAAAATGAAGAGATTACAGGAAAAAAAACCTATGTCTTTATGTGTTTTGTTCGTTGATAATTTTTTTTTCAAACAACATGTTTAATTTTTCTTATTGTGTCGATGGTGGTGGCATAGAACTACTGGCTATTGTTGGTGTTGACGTCGGTGTTATTGTTGCAGCACATGATAGTTTTCTTGGCATAACTGTTTCTGGTGTTGGAATTTCATGACCAGTTATTGTGTCCGGTACAATTGGTGATGCTGCTTCTTGAATACTAGTTGTTCTATTTGTTGGATCTGGTTTACTTGAAACTAATTTGCCTTGTGCTTTCGCAACATTATAATCACCAGAGTCAAAATACTTCGGCTAATAAAATCAGATGATAAAACAAATGAATGTTACATAAAAATTCTTTTTTTCTTTTTACCTTATTCATTAATTTTTTTGTTAACATATTTTGTTGTCGAGGAAGTGCGCCACCATATTTAGCTCTCAATTTTGCTTCTTCACTGACTTCTGGTGTAGTACCATTATTCTAAATAATAGATTAATTAGTTTAGTTTTAGTATAATATTTAATGAAAATATTAACTGATGGTGTTGTATTCTCGGCAGATGAAGCCATTTGGAATGTTGATGGACTTTTTTTTTGTTGTTTTTCAAATAAGAATTTTAAATTTTGTTTTCTGATTGATAAAATAAACAAAATAATGAAAAAAAAGATGTAGTAGAACAAGACAATTATAGTTATATATATGAATAAATGACGAAGTTATTTTGTACACACACACAAACCCGTCTGTATACAAAAGAGAATAAAAAAAATTACATATATATTTTTTTTCTATTCTTATATTTTCGAATATTTTCTATTGGTTTGAATATTTCAACCATCTTGAAAAATTATTTTCAGAAAAAAATTATTCAATTAAAAAATAAATCTATTTATTGAAATTCTCTATGAATTAATATTTTAAATTAGAGTATTTTAATTTATTTAATCACTAGAGGGCGCTGCCTTCCTATTACATCTTAATAATATAGTAAAGATGATTATTTAGATGTTATTAAATATAAGAATCTATGATGATAAGATACAGCAAAAAAATGACTGAAGATGAATTCTTTTTTTTATCTATCATCATGAAAATTTTAAGTGTGAAGAGAGAATTATCTTAGAACAAACAACGCAGTTTCATCTAAAAATAGAAACGACGTAATTGACGCTTCCAGGGAGGACAATAAATATGACTTGTTATTGTCAGATTAGACTTAAAGTAATATTCAAAAAAACAAATTAATCATATGACCCATACATCTATGTTTGATTTTGTTTTATTAAAGAGAAAACATCGTTATCTATAAAGTCATAAAAAAAATGGCAACTACGGATTGGCTCACAGTCATGACATACATTAAATCCAATAAAGATTTTATGCAAGAAATCAACATTTACGCCATCGCATCTCAGAAAAGTTTCAACATTTTGGTCAGATCTTTGATTAGAAAATATAATTTTATTGAATAAAACATTCATAATTAAATTAGTAAATGTCAAGTTGATTATGCGAAGACAGGTGTGATTCTATGAATAGTGTTTCAAAAAAATAGTGTTGTGTTTTGTTTATGGAAGTACTTTTGAAGCCAACAGAATTATCTAAGAGCTACGAAATTATTGTGACTTTACATATCAATTATCATCAAGTATATTAACAGATTTTTTGCCTTTTATACACTACATTTTAACAAGTTATCGATAATCCAAACTATTTGATAATGACATGAAAATTTTAGCAATGTATTGGAAAGTATCTCAAGTAGATATATGAATGTATTTAAACATATTTTCAAATTTGAAGACTACAGGAAAACAACTAAAAGATTTAAAAGATACATATTATTGTCCAGTATGTGTAATTCAATTTTGGTTATTTTATTAATATATACAAATGTCAGGAAATCGAATAATAACAATAGTAACGACTATTTTTGTTTATCAAAACACTCCTTTTATGCATTGTCTTTGTTCTAGTTATGATTAAAAATATATACCTATATTTGAAACAGGGCACATTCAAAGGCTAAGGAAAAGGTCATGAATAAATATTCGGATGTATAATTTTGAAAACTGAAAATTTAAGCGATATTTAATTGTTTTATATCTATATATTTGTTAAAAAAAATCGTTTGCTTTCAATTTCAATTCATGGCATTCATCGTCAAAACATCAATGTTGTCTTTTGAGAAGTTTTTTTTTTTTGTATAAACATAGGTTTATTTTGAGTAAGGATACAAAATTGACACTGCGTCTAATCCTTACCGTCATATATTTTTTTTCACATCTTTCATTTTGCTACAGATCCATGCTCTGGTATATTGTTTCGTTCTTTAATCAACAAATTTAATATTGTCGATTATTTATTTCTTAGGATTTTTTAAAGTATTTATAAATGTTCATTTACTCGAAATAAGATAAATATCCATAGTAATGAATTAATTTTTCAAATCAGATGATTAGTATTATTCGAGCAAGTAAAAAAAATAGCTTGCGATGTTTCAAGCTTTCAAAAAAAAGATGAACAGTGAAAAGCCAGAGCTTATTATCTTTTTTGAGGGATTATTTAACGATTGATATAAAATCATATATGTAAACACTGACAGAGACATAATTCAGCACTGAAGACAGAAAGAAACGTAGAATAGTTGGATCCCAGCAGAAGGTGCGCTGTGTGGACGATTTTTAAAAGTAGAGGAGTGTTGTTTGGACGAATTTCAGAATCAGGGAGCGTGACGCCCCATGCTAGAGCCCGTCGATGTCAATCCGAACCCGGTCAGGTCCGAGTCCAAAAATTTCAGATCTGATGAGTTCTCTGTTCCACGCACATCCCATATACCACTTGTTACATTAGGAGACATACTTAACAATTATAAAAATTATCATTGAAATTAACATAAAGACTCATTCCTTAATATTCATATTACTGTGAGATGTTATTGAACATTTTTTTTTCACAGAAGATAAATAAAGTCAAAACAAGACAAGAAATATTCCACAATAATATATTAGAGTTTTTATATTAAAGATTTAAATCAGTATTCAATTAATTTGAAAAATTTCGAAATTGTTTATGTTTTGAAAAATGATATTCTATTATTTACAATGCGGAATGATTGAACAGTTTTACAGATGATCAATTGGACATCGAATTTTTGGAATTCAACATACTATCAAGTTTCTCGATTATACAGTGTTTTTTCTTTGCCTCTTGACTTATATTTCAATAGATCTGAACTTTTTCAATTATTTGTTTTAGAATAATCTAAGTAAAAAAAATACATCCTATCTAGAGATCTGCATCGAAGTCTACTAAGTGTTTCAATAATAAATCTAATTTAACACATGAGGTATTTTGAATTGTAAGTTTTATTCTTTGCTATTCAATATACAAATGAATATGTTTTCAGAATTCGATTGGTGTCTCTTCGAGGTTTCCGCTCATGAGAAGAAGTCCGAATCAACTTTAATTTCGACTTTCTCCATCTTTGTAAAGACCTGAGGAGACATGATTGGAGCCTCCAAAATACACCAATTCGTACCATAAATATCAAAGAATAAATCTCACAATTTGAAAAAGCTTTAGTATTTAACATAAATTACTTGTAAGCAATTTAGAGAGCTCCGACCGCTCCTAAAAATGACTCTGATGCTGGTCTCTAACTGTATCATTCCAAGAAGCAAAGATTCTAATTGTGCACGTCTTCGATAATTACATTAGTATCTTGTTAGTAGTATACAATGCTTTGCAGACAAGTAATTCTCATTGAGTTCTTTCAGCATAAATATTCAATTAATCTAATTTTTCACATTGATATTAATTTTATCACATTGTTAATTTCAAAAGAGTTATATTTCTTTTTTTTTTGTTTTTTCATTCGTTTGCTGTCTTTTTTCTTTCGCGATTAAAAAATTTGTTCTATCATAAGTCGACCACATAAAATAACAGGAAAAACTTATACATATACAAGATGAAAGCAAAAATAAAATAAAATAAAAACAAAAAAAAAAAATATGCACATAATCCTCAAGATGAATAAAAAGTTTATCACGTTTTTTCTAGCTCGAACACATGGAGAAATAAATCATTCCAGCTTTGGAAAAAAAAAATATAAACAAAAATATATTATCTAATCTAAACATTTTCACTAAAGATTGTATATATAAACCCACATACGATCGAAACACATTGTTAATGGATCACTTAATTGAAGACGATTTTCAGGTAATAAATTTCCATTAATAATGCCGGAATGAAAAAGATGTACGCGAAATATACAAAATTGATTATTTTCAAAATTTTGTTCAGCTGCATCATGTGCATCACGTACACTAGCATAGACAATCAATGGTTTAGTTGTTGATTCTTTGTCTTCATTTTGCCAACGAAGTAATTGAAAAATATCAGCTGGATTTTTAGTTGGACAATAATAATAAATAGGTTTTGCACGGATATTTGAACTATAAAAAAACAAGAGAATTAATCTTTAATTGAATACTGAATAAATATGAAAATACCATTGTTTTTCTTTATTTTCTGATAAGATATTTTTAGATATTAATAATTTAATTGGACATCCAATTTCATCAGATAAATAACGTTCAACATCTTCATACTCATTTTTATCATAATAACCTAATAGAAGAATATCTTGATCATGTTCAGGTAATGGTGATGGTAATGAAGTATCAGATTTCGATGATAATACATCATCATATGATGATAATTCTCTTCCTGATGCCATTGATGTTGAACGTTTTGAAGAAGACGATGTACAACGTTGTTGAGTAGTCGTTGATTTTCTAGAAAAGAAAATTATTATATTTTCAAATTTAATCTATAGATTTTTTGTTTTTTGTGTAAAAGAATCTCGTTCAATAGTAATTCAAGTTTTAAGTCAAATGAATTTAGTTTATTTGTACAACATTATCCGACAGAAAATGATTCTATCATTGATACTAAAAAAAAAGTAGAATGTAGAAGAAATGTTGACTTTTTCAATCAATTTTCATTTTGAAATATAGGATGATCCTTCAATTATTATGAAAATCAGAATTTTGTAGAGAAATTAATCTTAATCTAACGAGTGAAAGCCTCCAACTGATTCATGCCATTTTCAATAATATAATGTCCATATGTTGGGGGACCTTGTTCTAAGGAAAACTCTAAGAGAGTTTGGACTGTCTTCGATGGTTATGACCATTTTACTCATTTGTATACCTACCACGAGATATATACAGAAACATTGAACAACAGAATTCTAATTCAAAATTTTGCTCATATGTAGTTTTCGTGGTTATTGACACACTCTAAATGTTCCAATAGAAAAAAAAATTTTTTTCTTTAGAAGAGATCGAGTCTTAAAAACTTGTTTCATAATCTATAAAGTCCAGGAAAATTGATTTTTTTTGAAATAATTCAACATTATAACAAGAAAACATGTTTTTCTGTTGAAACATTTAGAACATTTCAATGATCACGAGAAGCATACATGAGCAAAATTTTGACTTGAAATTCTGTTGTTCGATTTTTTTTGTATTTATCTTATGGTAGGTAGAAAAATCATGAAAATGGTGATAATCTTCGAAGGAAATCTTATCAGCCCAAAGCCTCTTAGGATGTTCTTTTAGAATAATGTCCTCAACATATGGACAAAATATCATTGAAAAAAAAACAGCATGAATCAATTAGAGAAACTTCCCTCGGCAGATCAACAATGAATAAATATATTAAGAAAATCATTTCGAAATTAAAATATAAGAACAAATGTTCTCATAAAATTTATTAAATCTCGATTTTCAATAAATATATCAGATATATTGAATTAATTTAATTTAACTTACCGTTGATTATCATTTGATATTATAAATTTTAATGTTGACGGCGATTGATTAGGCATATTGACTTTATTAACATAATCTGGTTTTCTATAAAATAACAATTGATTTAATTTAAAAACTTTACAGTACAACCCCATTGGGGCTAAAATGTGAAATTCATATGTGTTTATTACCTTCATTGCACTAATACAAAACATATTAAATGAAAAATCTCTGGTAGACTACAATTGTTTTCCAAGAATAATCGATCGTTAGAGAAGCAATCTATCTTATATTTGCATTCCGAACAGAAGTTCTTTCTTTTTTTCTTACTGGCACTCTAGTTTTTTTGCTTGGCTTGTTGCTTTTTACTCGTTATTTTTGCTTTTTTGTGTCACGATAAACTCAAAAACCCTGATATCAATGTATAACTTGATCAATTCACCCCTTTTTATGTTGATCATATGACAACTGTCGCAAATCAATGCATCATTATCGATTATCCTTGACATCTTAAATATAAATTTTTATCTGCGCAAAAATCAAACTGTTCAGCATTTTTTTTTTCGTTGCTGAAGAGACGGCTTCCTTTCCGGAGTTTGTCATTATATACCACATACTATGTATCTGTGCTTTCAAAACTAAATGTTCGCCCTTCTGGAGTTAGAAATCGCCTCTCCGAAAGAAGTAAAATGTTGATTATTCTTGGTTGCTATAGAAACGTACTCAATAACCGTTAGTTTTTCTCTCTTCACCTATGGTTACTAAGGTTTTAGAAGGAGAAAGCTATAAAAATCAATTTTTTTCAAAAATATATGTAAGTGTCTATAAAACAACATACCGTTGTCGAAGAACTTTTCTAAAAGCATCTAAAACATCTCCATAGTCTTGTTCAATTAATTCTTTCTGTCGAAAATATGCAAGACATGCATCATTAATTCCATGTTGACAATGTGGTTTTGTACAAGCATCAATTAAAGCATAATAACAATAATGTAATTTATCACAATTAGATTTTTTTGAACAACCACTTTTCTTTCCATGATCAGTGCATACCCAAAACTAGATGAATCAAATCAACAAAACAATACATATCATGTTTTTTTTTTTTTTTTTGTAATAATTTTTTTTACCGATCGGCGTGGATCAGCACTTGCTCGAGTTAATTCATGTAGAATACGTGCTGGTATAAAAGATAGACCACGAGCATCAATAATTTTTCGATTATGTATACTTTTTAAAATATCATGATCATATGGACAAGTTTTATTTGTACATTTTGTATGCATTGGTCTTATATTATAAGGGCATAAATGTAAAAATGGACATGATTCATTTTTACAATGTTGTGCATAATGTGTACAACAAAAAAGCTAAATTAAAAACAAAAAAAAAGAAAACATTCAATTTTTCTTTGTCATCATACTTACATCTAATGTAAGTGCTATTTTTTCTGATCCTTGATTACGATTATTTGATGGTTGTAATAATTGAAAGTAATCTGTATAAGAAGAATCATTTATTAATTGTAAAAGATAATCTTTTCGTATTTGTAACTGATCAATAATTGTATCTATTCTATCGATTGAATATTTTGTATTAAGTAAATGATTAATAAGATTTATTACATTATCCATGTTTATTTTAACTAAAAACAATTTCTGCAAAAACGAAAAAAGAAATAATAATAACAATAATATATTATCTACTAAATTTTACTTTGCTTCTCAATACAATGTTTCTTTTTTTTTGGAATAAAAATTATATTTTTTTTAATGTTTTTCAATACATGTCTTTTAATCAATGTTTGATTTCTTTTTTCTTTTTTGTCTTTGTGTTATTACATATGACAAAAAAAAAACAAAACAAACAAACCGTAGTGTTTTGGTTTTTCAATGGAAAAAAACTAAAACACGATAAAAAGTAACTGTGAAATAAACTACATGCAATGCATAAATCAGTCCTTTTCTTCTGTTCTTATTACTGGGAGTATTGCACTGGATATAGATCACCTGAGAAAAAGGCAGAGAAGCGAAAAGAGAAAAAAAAAAAAAGAAAAGAAAAACAAAACAACATCACACAAGTGACCAAAACAATAGCAGATAACGGAAAAAAGGAAACCAACAAAACAAACAAAAAAAAAAGGAACAAACGAGTTGTCAAACATTCATTCTCACGTGAAGCTTTGTCAAAGAAAAACAAAAACAAAAACAGAAGAGGAAAAAGTATTTTTCAAAACATTATCATTGGTTGTTGTTGATGTTGACCATGTTCATCCATCATTAATGTCATAATCATCATTGGTTGTGGTTGTTGCGGTTGTTGTTGTTGTTGTTGTTGTTGTTGTTCTAATTGATATCGATAAAAATGAGAACGTTTTCTAGATAACAAAAAAAAAACAACAACAAAGAATTGATATTAATAAAATATTATTTAATATTCAATAAATATTTTACTTATTTTCATCAACAATACGAAAAAGTGCAATAACATCAATAGGTTCAATATGTGCAAGACCACGACGTTCCAAATAATCAATATTACGTTGTGTCATTAATGAATGTCCAGCTTTACAATCACCATATTTGCATAGATGAGGTGAACACATATAAAAATAACATAGATGTAAATCATCACAATTTGCTTCTCGACATGGTTTTGGTTTATGATGACAAACCGCAAACTAATAATTAACAGATAAGATTTTATTTAAAAAAAACAAAAAAAAAAGATTCTTTCATCTTACTGTTTTACTTGGATCAGCTGAAGCCAAAATAAGCATAATAAGAGTTTTTTGTGGTAAATTTTCTAAACCACGTTCCAGAATAACACGTCGATTATGTTCCGTATCAAGTGAATGTGATAATGGACAATCATGTGGCCGTTGACAACGACGATTAGGTAAAACAACCGATGGACATAAATGTAAGTAGGGACAAGCAATATCTTTTGTACAACCATTTGGTGGACGTGCATAGAACGTACAATTGGTTAAATCAAGTACAACTGCAATACGATCATCACCAGGTGTATCAGTTGCACGAAGACGTGCAAAAACAAATGGATGAGTAGCAACAATTGATAAAATATGTTCGACAGGTGCTTGTAATGATGCACATAATGTTGAAAGACGTGAAAGTGAATTTGTTGTCAGAAGTGTATGAAGAAGAGCAATAGCATTAGCATCTAATAGAGGCATGATGATAGATGAACTATCCTAAAATACAATAGAAAATAAGATAAAATTTTCTATCATTGAAAAATTTCTATTCAATATAAAATCTTAAATTATGTTATGACATAGATTTAACGCTACTCTTCTCTAAAAAGTCACATTTTTTTAGATAAACATATACCGGGTGATCCAAAAGTTTTGCAACATTTTGTCTTTTGCATATATCTCAATAGAGACAAAAGATAAAATCTTGAATATAATTTTGAAAGATGTACTTTTCAATTCTCTACAAACTGGTATTTAGCTTAATTTAAAATAATAGAACAGAACGTTTTTATGGATCAAATAGTATGATGGTATGAATTGCATCAACTTCCCGCACCATTTCTAATAACAAATTTTCTAACTTTCTCGTGTTATAAACAAATGCCTAAAAAAACTAATTATTAACAATGCTATTACATATCAATCCTCTTTTAGAATAATTCATCTACATTCGATTAGAATCTATTTAGGCCTAATGAAAATGACCTGCCAGATATGCTACCGTAAAAGTAACATTTTTGGCAACTTCCAGAATCTTCTTTCAATTGACTTCTTTTACTAAATGTTTTTCTAATTTTAAGTAGAAAGATAAGTCTGTCTGTGACAGCGCTTTGTAAAAGCGAGCTCGGTTTGATCACAGGGTCTGTCTCTTTTCAGACGTATTTTTCTGGCGAGAAATGGTGGATAAGGAATTTGACGATTCGCAAAATATTGCTTTGAGAAAAATTCTGTCTAATAGAAAGAATGAATGTTAAATATATACGCAATCCACCGAAGCTTGCAAGAGCTATCTGACAATAACTTATTTCTAAAACAAAACATTCGTTCGTACAGAAAAAAATAGTTTAATAAAAAAAGATGTGGGAAATAAATGCAACACATACCATCACACTATTTGACCCATAAAAACGTTCAGTTCTATTATTTTAAATTAAGCTAAATACCAGTTTGTAGAGAATTGAAAAGCACATCTTTTAAAGTTAAATTCAAGATTTTATCTTTTGTCTGTACTCAGATACACGGAAAAGACAAAATGTTGCAAAACTTTTGGATCACCCGGTAGGTATGAACCTCAATGCATCTAATTTGAAAATTCTTAAGAATGACTTCCAATCTTAAAAGGTTTCTAAAGCTCTTCACCGAAAAAGCCAATATTGTATCCATAGGAGTTATTGCAGTTACGGCACCTTCTCATAGTCCAATGTGTAGCTAGAAAGTCACTCGATAAGACTCTAGACGAATTTTTAATTGGTACGAAACATAATCATATTTGATGCTCATTTCAGAAAGTTCTACAGATAAATATACAAAAAAATTGTCGAAATTGGCTTCTGCATAAATTGTCAAATTTCGAACAAATTTCTTTTCGATAACGTTCGTTCTAGTGAATTGCAATTATTCTACCCTCAATATCACATAGATTTTCTAGAAGATATTGCCAATAATTTTGGGGTTCCCAAAAATGAAATAAAGACCCTTTCGCTTCTTCGAAGCGCTAAAGAGTTCTCTTTGAAATGAGACTAATTCAAGCGTTGTAGCTTGAAGCGCATTAAAGAAAAAACATTTGTACACATGAAAGTTCTATTTTACACTATAGCTCCTGGAAATCTTGTGAACGGTAAGGTTTTGACCCATGAAAATTTTTTTTTATAGTATACTTTCATTAGTTGAATGTCTTCAAAAAGTTTCGTGAAAATCCCATACGCTGTATCGAAAATCGATTTTGGAGTGGGAAAGGGACCGCGAAGATCTTAAACAACGACTATCGAAAAATGACTTTTTTTTAATTAGATCTAGAAAAAAAAGCAGCTTGAAATATGTTCAAAATTCTTATTCTTCTTCTAAATAAAATTTACTAATAAAATTTTAGTATGACAACAATGAATAGTGTTTTTATTTTAAGATAAGTAAATTAGAGATCAATACAATTTAGGGAAAAAAAAACTTGAATTATTCCACCTACTTGATATTTTTAATTTCTGTTCGATGAACACGTGAGTGATAGTAATAATCTAGAAATGAAGAAGTTTTTACTTATAAGCCTTATGTCTCTTGTCTATATGTGTGTTTAATAGGAATGAGAGAACAACAGAATCAACAATAATTGTAATAAAAAAAAAAAAGGAAAAAAAGTGTCGAAGAAAAGTTTATTCAATACGATGTTCGGTCTTGTCTTTTTTTTTCTTGTTCATTTATTTATTTTCTACTCTTTTTTTGATGTTTGTGTTGTTAAAGTTGGTTGTGTTGTAGTTGTACTACCCATTTGTTTTGCTTGTTTTTTCTTTTCAGCTTCAATTTCATTTTCTTTTTCAATTTCAGCAATATATTTTTCGACTTCTTCATGACTAAGAGTTTTTAGTGCTTTATGTCGTACCATAACAGCAATTTCAACATTTTTTGATCCACTTTGTACAACTTCAAGTAAAGCTCGAATACATAATTTAATGGATTCATGTGTTGATTCATATGTTGTTTCTGAATAAGATTTTTCTAAATATTCACGAACAGTTTTTGCTTGTCGACCAATTGCATTTGCTTTCCATTCATGATAAGTACCACTTGGATCTGTTGAATAGAGACGTGGTGTACCATCATAATCGAAACCAACAATTAATGTTGATAAACCAAATGGACGACGACCACGACCTTGTGTATATTTTTGTTGTAAATCAGCAATATAACGTGTTATATATTCGATTGTTACTGGATCTTCAACATTAAGTCGATGAGATTGACATTCAATACGTGCACGATGCATTAAAACACGAGCATCAGCTGTAAGACCAGCAAATGCCATAGCAACATGATCATCAAGTACGCAAATTTTACGAACCGTACTAGAAAAAAAAAATGAACAAATAAGTTTTAGAAAGAAAAAACAAAAACAAAAGTCGACACGACTAATTAATCTTACCGATCTTCTTGTAAAACAGCGACAGCTTTCTTTTCAACTCCTAAAACAACAATATTTTTACCACGTACACCAACAGCCGTTGATCCTTTCTTGACAGCTTCTTGTGCATATTCAACTTGAAAAAGACGACCATCTGGTGAAAATACTGTAATTGCTGTATCATACTCTCCTGCCATTATTATAAATATTCGTTAATATAATCTAAACGATAAAAAGAAAACTATAATTTCAAATAATTTGTTAGAAATAGAATAATACTAGCTGATCCTACAATCAAATAAACACACGCATACATATACTTGTGTACACAATCAATTTCTAATACACAATGAGTCATTCATCGAAGCTTCAATAAGAAATATTAGAAAGAGTTTTTTTCTTTGTTTCGTAATTGATACTTTATAGAAGATAGTTCAATGATTATATTAATGGATATATTATTCTAACAATGTGTATTCTTTTATTTGAGTTATTTTTTTTACAAAATCGAACAAATAGTTGACAGATGACGCTAATAGCAAGTCATGTGTTAGATAAGATTCTATAATATATCAGAGTTAACCTTGTATACTATTTCATTTAGACTTTTGCTTATCAGTGATAATGACTTTCGTCTTAGACATGAATATAATTTCTTTCGGTATATGTATATAATTGATATCTATTTTTTTTTTAAATATTTGATGCAATTAGTTTTCTACATATCGAGAGCAATTTGATTCGAATAATGGAATAAAAACTAGTCGAATCTATTGAAAATAATAATAATAATAATACTCTATAGAATGTTTCTTAATATTTGCAATTGTTACGGGAAGAATAATTCAATGTCATAGTGCTCTTCTCATAAATAATTATTTATACGCAATATAACATGGTGCCCATTGCAGACTACTCGACTGAAGTGTTAGTTGTTATCACTCATTATCAAATTTCAATCCACATATAAATCAGAATAATAAAATCTAATTCTAATCAGAGAAATATTTCCTATTCTTCATATTCTTTATTGTTATAGTTATGTTCCCGTTATTTCACTTTTTTTTTGTATTACTACCACATTCTCATCGGCTAGTTTTACTAGAATTTGTCAAAGACAAAAAAACATCTATTAATCTCAATTTATGATTTTTGAATGCATTACAGCACCTTCGAATATATAAATAGCCTCTGATCAGTTATTGAAATGGTGTTCTGCAAACAGAAAAAAATTTTCAGACAGTTCAAATCTAAAGAGTTATCTGAATAGATCTTGTAATATAATTTGATTTGTTCGAACAATTCTTCTCATTCATTTGAACTAGGAACTGTTCGACCCCTATTAGTGATGATCATGAAACATATTTATTTAATCCAACTATTTACTCATGTATGATTGAATATCACATAAAATATTTTCAATATAATAACTATTATTCTATTCGGATTAGTGAACGATGAACACGAATACTTAAACACGAGAACTTCTAACATCAAAAAAAGTGAAGCATATAAAGAAAAAATAATGTGAATATGAAGTCTATTGAATAAGCGATTGAAATAAATAAGAAAATTTTCATTTGACTTCGCCGTTGATTCGGCCTACTTTTCAATTATTCTGTTCCGAATTGATTCAGTTTCAATTTCTCAAATATATATATATATATATTCATGAGACCAAATATTTAAATTTGAATAAGAAAGTATGTATAGATTTAATTTCTGTCTAATTAGGAATATTAATGAATAGAAACACAACAATTACTCATTAATACAACTACATAACATAAACATTTTTCTATCTGACATTTTTAATTGTTACCTCGATGTTTTTCATGCTTATCGTTCTCATGCTTAAGCTTTCGTGTTCATCGATTCTCGGCTTCCTTTTTCTTCAGATACACGTGCAGACAGTTTCTATTTCGTGTAAGCCACTACACACTACTCATCAAATATACTAGTCATCTTTATTTTGATGGATGATTAGTACATTCAATAGTGATGAAGTTGTTCAATTCTATTCTTTTTCTTTGTAAACATCACTAATCAAAGTAAAGCTATTCTTGACATTTTATACTGTAGTTTCTATTAAATTATCTCATGTTAAATATATACAATCTGTCTAATAACGATATCATTCAGTATTATATTGAATCAATTTTGTGTTAACCTAGTTGTTGAAAGATAAAACGATACTGAATAACTTTTTATTTTTATTCTAAATCAATATATCAATAAAAAAAAAATGTACAAAAATAATTGTTGATTTCATGTTTTAAACAACATACTACTATCATCCAACCAAATGAAAAAACAATGTAGAATGGTATGTTTATTTCATCATAATATGATCTACGAAATTATTTATCATAGATAGTGTAAAGTATTAAAAATATTCTTCAATAAATATTTAAAATAAGTAGATTGCAACTTTATATCAAAACGATGAAATAGACTCTTATCAATAATAGCGTTTGCAAACAACGTTAGATTCTAATTAGTCTTCAATTGATATTTTTTAACTAGTATCAGTCAACATCATAATACTACTTTGTAATATACATCTTGTTAAAGCTACACAATACTGACTCATAACTGAAGTGTCTATATTAACACAAAGGAATCTGAAGTATTCTACATCTTTCCATTTGCAAACTACGTTAGAATTCATATTAATCATGATGACTTGTGTACGACAGACAACATTTCACTCTCATTATATCTTTTTTTTTGTTGTCATTGTACTTCTATGATAATATTGGGCTTTTTTTTATGAGCATCTTTTTACTTCTTGACATTAGAACAAACATAAATAATTTTCTTCTTATATCAATAGTAACTTTACATTTCAAGAAAAGAACTATATATATATATGATGTAGCGATTGATAAGAAAAATGTGGCTTTTCAATAAAAACCCGTACTACAGAAAATATGGATGATTATGTCATTTCATTTAAATACCATAAAGTATTAAACGGAAACTTGATGTTCTCTTGAGAGGAAAAAAAAACAGAACTATGTTAGCTATTTAAAGTTCATTTAAATTGAGTATACTTAATTTTATATGATTGATTTATTATAAATTCATAATGAAAATAATCATATTCTAGAATTGAATTATTCATTTTTATTTTATGAAAAAATAATCTAGTAACTGTGACAAAGTTTTGTTTTTATTTATTACAATTAAACTCTCTACGAAATATTACTGAAAAGAAAATATTTAAATGTAAAAAGTGACATAGATTTGATTTTGCAAACAGTAACATTACAGAAAAATAGGGATAAAACAATGCGAATAAACATATATCTGTGTATAACTTTAAAAAAAAAAAAAATACTCGTAATATTTTTTAAACAATTTTATGTTCATCACTAGCTTTATGATTGAATTCATAATCAAGATGCACAAATGCCTAAATGTAAAAACAAAAAAAGATTTTTTTAATTCAAAAAAAACTAAAAACAAAAAAATTTTCTTAAATACTCGTTCCACTTCAGGAATACTTTCAATTTTCTTTTGTAATTCTTCACCAATATCATGTGCTTCTTTGAGTGACATATCTTCCGGCAGAACAATATCTACCTAGAATAAAAAATAGAGAAAAAAACCATTATCATCATCATCATCATATTCGAATAACAAACTTCGACAAGAAAATATGTGCCAAAATGAAATGCTCGAACTGTATCGAGTTTTAAAATTGATGGTGAATGATTAAATGCAATCCATGTTATTTGTTTAAGAAATTCTGGATTTGCTGTATGTCCAGTTAAATGTTTAATTTGTTCTATATAAATATAATTATTAATAATTTATAAGATAATAATATTAAACTTACGATTTGCTTGACGAATCCAAGTTATCAAAATATAAATTGAAATAACAATAGCACCGATTGAATCTGCTAATACCAAAGATACAGGAAATAGAATGGGATTTCTTCTTGCAAGAAAACCTTGAAAAACAAAATTTTATTAAATTAAATTAGAGTAAAAAAAACCTATATCCTACCAAAAGTACCACAAATAAGAGCAACAGAATTTGAAAAAACATCATTTCGATGATCTTGTGCTAAAGCATTTAATGTTTCACTACTTTCACGAGAACATAATATGAAGAGAAGCAATTTGCATACTACAAAGAAGTCAATATTATTTGTATAATAGACAAACTTTAACTGAAAACAAAAATCATGAATTACCAATAGTGATACACATAATAGTCACTGGCAATGTTGTCATATTAATTGGATGTACATATGAAGAACTATTTGATGGATATTTTTGAAGCATTTTAATATCATTAACAGTTGTTTGTAATGATTCTGATATTACTTGAATACTTGCCGAACACATGATGACCGAAAGAATAACAATAGATATTGGTTCGAGACGTGTTCGACCTAATCAGATTAGTTGGCAAAGTTATAAAGAAAAAAATAAAGATTATCTTTTCTTTTACCTTGTGGATACATAAATGGATCACGTCGTTTAATTGCACGTGTAGCCCAAAAAAGAATTAAACTTGATGCTAGATCAACACCACTGTCGACAACTGATGAAATGACTGATAATGAATGTGAAGTATATGCAGCGATAATTTTGACTATGAGAAGAAACTAAAATATCACAAGATATTGAGATTCTATATGTTATCATTTCATTGAATAGATTAGAAAATTTCCTATTTATTGAATAACTCAAAAAAAACAATGCAACTCGCTAATTAATAGTGATTTTTCTAAGCGAAATAAAAATCAAAGAAAAACAAATAGAATTTATTCAACTATTTAAGACAAAAATTTATGTATTCAATTTGAATATGTTTTGCAGTATAACGTATCTTTTGAAGATACTTTTCATAATTTGTTTCTTTTCTTTTTTTTTATTAATCAACATGCATAATCAAGTTATTTCTTTATTGATACTTACGACATTGACTAATAATGATATGTTTGTATAAAGACTAATACGTTTTCGCTTTAGTTTTAGATCGTCTTTAGATTTTTTATTATTTTTTCCACCTTCTCCATCTTCAATTTCATTATCACTATCTTTACGCGAATTAAGACGATGTAGACGTTCCAATGTTGAAATAAGTTTGTCTTGTTTTTTGTAGAAACTCCTTACAAAACAAAACACAAAGTTAATAATAATATAAATTAAAAAATATTCTGCTTTCTGTTCATACCGAACTTTCTTTGGTAATTTTTCATCTTCAACTCGTTTACCACGACGACAAGCAGTTATTCCTTCAATTGAAAATGCTGAAGGAGCAGCTATTCAAAATAAATAATTTACAAAATATAAGAAAATAGTCAACTACCAAACCTTTCCACTTATGATCATCACCATTCGCATATTCAATACTTCTTTGACGTTTAATAGCTAAAATTAATCAAGAAAAATATATGTATATATATATATTATTGAATTCATTTTTTTTCTCAGAATCGTGCCAAACAAAACGACTAAATGTGCAATACAAAATCAAAACAAAGAACCACATAAAATAAAGGACAATCAAAGAAGCTATAATATACATATATATATATATATATATATGTGTGTGTGTCATCTATGAAACAACTTACAAGATGAATTTCGTGGAAGAAGAACGCTGGAAATAAATGCAATTATGAACAATCACCAAAGTTTTTAAGTGAAACAAGCAAAAGTATTCAAACAAAAAGAAACAATTGACTGTGAATAAATTAAGCACACAAAATGTTGAATTTTATCGATACATTCTGTTAAATAATAAAATATTCTTCTATTAATAACAATATGTATCATGAAAATAATTAGATTAGAACTGAAGTGAAAAAATTTTTATTTTTATTTTTTTTAATTTTCACAAATAATTCTAATGTGATCTGTTAATAATTAATAGTCAACTGTTTCTTTTTGTAAAATCAATTAATTAGTACAATTATATGATTAGATATTTATTTAAAACTTACATATCTTCTGATGGTTCGGAATTGATTTCTGTTGAAGCCAGTACTTGTCCGTTGTCTATCGTCACTATAGGCTCCATTGATTCTTTTATACTTGAAAAATGAATGTGTAAAAGAGTAGAATTCTATGACATAAACAGATTATTTGCTTTAAACAGCCAATCATTGGTTTATTTTTCTATTTTGGTATTTTATGGAAGTACTTGTTCTTCATTCCTTTGTACTTATTATTAGTTCATTGCTTAGATAAGAATTTAGAAAGTCAAAGTAAAATGCAACGTCCACCATTACCAACACCAAATCGTAATCGTGTTCGTCCACAACAAACTCCAACATTTCATCAACGTGGTCTTGTACGATTTAGTACACCAAAAGCATCACCACGTCGTTCACCAGCTACACAAATTCTTCAATCAAATAATGGTACTTTATGGGAAACATATGGTCTTGATGAAAATTCTTTAACAATACGTTTTCTTTATTCAAATTTACTTTTACTTGGTATTGAATGTTCATCAATATTTTGTCGTTATCGTACTGGACAACAACAACAACAAATATCAATAGATGAATTATCAAATTCAACTGAATTTATTCGTCTTATAACACATTTTCTTCTTTTAACATATTTATCTGATGCACAACAAACACAATATTTACGTGATACAACACATTGTTTTCCACCAATGGCTATTGATAAACAACAAGAATTTAATCGAATTGTTAAACAACATTTTAAATTATTAGTAAAGAAATATTTTTAAATAAAATAAAATAAAATAAGAATATCTTAATTTTATTTATTTTTTTTAGTCTGAAACTCATCAACAATATCCATGGCCTCAATTAATACCAGTTCCATCATGTTCACCACGTTATTTTATTTGTCTATTTTATTTATCTCAATTATGTTTAATACATCGTTTAGAATCAATTGATATTCAAGAACGTTTTTTAACAAATGAGAATTTTCAAAATATGGATTTAACAAAAGAACGTCTTAAACGACAAACTCGTATGATTAAAGCTGATACACAACGACATTATATGATGTTTTTTAGTAAAATAGCTAATGAAAAACGTGAACGTATTGAATATGAAAAAACGAAATATGAATTCGATGAACGTATATATAAATTAATTAATTATTTAGAAAACATTAAACAAAAAACAGAAATTATTGATGGTAAAAAACAAAACAAAAAGAAAATTCTAAATGTTCAGCTTTTGTTTTGGGTTATATGAATTCTACTCTGGGCTCAAATTTTTCTAAAAATTAGAAATCCTATAAAAAGTTGATATACTCCATAATACTTAGAAAGATGGCATAATATTCAGTAGTCTGCTTTGATCCTATTAGAAATGATATGATCTTTTGAGACAACTATTACTTGTATGTAACAACGTAAAAAGCAGACTGCACAAGAGAACTACCAAGTAATGCTCCCTCTAATCCACTTTTAAACTAATCAATGTTTCTTCATCAATGTTACCAATTTCTTCGCCTTTTTTTTATTGAGTGTAAATTCTAAGCACTATATCATTCTGGTAAGTGCTAATATCCGGCACAGACACGACTTTTTGCAATCGGATTCGAACTGGAACTAACCGATATCCGGTAGATACTTTCACAGTCACAGTATGAATTGCAAACTTTTGTTTTTATATGAAGTTTCTCCTATAAACAGCAACAAAAGAAGGGATCATTTCCAATTCCATAAAAAAAAACAAATGATTCAGAATTCACTTGGTGTCTTTCTGCTTCTAAAAACCGATCAATTTCGCTAAGTATATGTTTGCTAGTTGCTGATAATGCTGTTGTTGGTGCCAAATGTCATTTTTGTGGATACATACATGAATATTTTTCCTATCACAATAATACATTTTCACCTTCTTGATAATTCATTTTCCACTTCTGTGACGTATTCTCAAGTACAACAAATCGCTCAAATTTTCATTCCTATGCTTTTATATAGATTTGCAGTTTGAAAGAGTAAAAATATTTTGAAAACATCGAGATCTCATTCATTGCAGGATCGGATCCTGGTATGAAATCATACCTGGTTGCAGGACACTACTGGGCACTACATTTTAATGAAAATGCATACTGCTAAGCACGATGGATCATAGAAATAAGACTTTTTATAAGGATTAATCAGAAGAATTTGAGCTCGGTCCGAAATTCTAACTTCCACTTTTTTTTCTTGTTTTATTTAATTTAATTATTGTTTCTCCTAGGATCATTTGATCAATCAGAAATTATTGATGAAAATCAATTTGAAATATTTTCAAATTTAGTTCGAGATCTTCATAAAAGAATTAATTCAGATATTTATAATAAATTAGAATGGTTTATTAAACATAGTTTATCAACATCATTACCATCAATGGGTGTTGATATTGGTTTATTACCAAATATATGTCAACAAATACGTGATATTGTTAATAAAAAAGAAAATAGTAAATTATTTTATTTATAAACGAAAAAAAATTAATTTATTATAAAAATTCAAAATTTTTTAGTTTCAAATCGAATAAGCCAGTTATGTCCAAGATTTAGTGCAACGCCATTATCATCATCATCAACATCTACAACAATTACTCTTAATGATCTTATACAAGCAGCTAATATTTGTCTTGAAAAACGTCTTACATCTCATTCAGTATCGGATGAAAATTTTGCTAAACTTAAATTAGCACTTGAACAAATGAATACAACTATTGAACGTACTGAACAAGTACATAAAACACTTGATCATTTAAAACATTTACCTAAACATATGAATCATTATGATGATGATCAACAAATACAAAAAACACCATTTGATCATATTGTAACAAAATTTTATTCATCAATTGATTGTGGACAACAAGCAAGAGAAATATTTCGTGAACAAATGAGTAAACAAACACCAAATTCATTTGTTACTTGTTGTAATACAATTGCAACAATAAGTGGTGATGATTCAAATAGTGATTTTATGAATGATGATACAACTATAATACGTTGTCAAATATCAGCACCATTATCATCAGTACCAGAAACAGTATTACCAATAACTGATGAAGGAATGTTAAAAGGACTTGAATGTCTTTTACTTAGTGAACCAATGCCGATTTCAACAACAACAACAAATAATGATGAATCATTTCTTACACTTGAACAAGAATGTAAAATGGGTTCAGAAATATTTATTGATCGTCCTCGACGAAAAACAATTGTAGAAACAAATGTAGCTGCAGTTATTATGGATGATAAAATGGAAGATGATTATTCACAAAAAGAAAATATTACACCTCAACAACAACAACAACAACAACAACAACAGATCCATGAAATTCAAATAGAAAAACTTGATAATGATGTTCATTTTATTTCACCTATTATGTCAGTACCTATTGGACAGTAAGTAGATTATACTCTTTAATTCTTTCATTTTAAGAATCTTTTTTTTTATTGAATTTAGACAACAACCGGTTATGCCTAAACTACTCGAACAAATTGATACAATTGATCCTTATTAAAATTCTGTTCAAAAACAGTCGATATATTTACGTTTATATATAGTTCTTTTCATTTATCTTGTCAGATCATAGAAAAAGAAAATCTTTTCTCTTTATCTCTAGTCGTAACTATGCAATATTTTACTAACTATAGAATCTCTGACGTCCGATAACAATTATGATTTATCGTCTTTCTTCTGATACATATATGCGATCTTTACTTTTTTTCTACAATCATAAATAAATAAATGTTACTTTTGATAATTTTACAAAAACAAAAAAAAGTGTATTTTAAGAAGATTTCAAAATTGATTTTTGAGACTTAGTAAAAAAGCTCTTGTTGCTTTTTTAATCTTTGCTTTGAAAAAAAATTATTAGAAGTCTTTATTGATAATCATATACGAATATTGAAGGTAAGCTCTTTACGAAGCGTTAATTATCATATTGCTGCCAGTAAAATTCTTAATAAATGAAAGTGAATATTTGAGTAGCCGAAATTTTGCTAATGAGACTTTCGCCTATATGACATTCACTAATGGCGAAAGCGCAGCAGACTTCGAAAGCTGTCATGAAACAATGTTAATATAGGATATATTTGAGAACTGAAGCTAATTTTGTTAGAATATATATAAGTCATAGCTTACACTTCAGGAGTATTCGAATATGAACGAGTAATGTTTCTAATAAGAACAAAACGAGATTAATATGAAAAAAAAAGATAGGATGGAGTATTGATGAAGAATAATCCTCGCCCTTACACCCATCCGTACCTAGCGCGAGTTGTCACAGACATTAATCAAACAATTATTATCCAAAACGACATATAAAATTTATGGCTATATAGACCAATATAATCGATCAATGTAGTCGATAAGAATTTTTTAAAATCTATATCTAATTCACAGTGAAATTGGTGAAATTCTGGAACTCCGTATATTGATCAATTAACAGATGTTTTTGATTCAAAAAGAAAAATTTCTTGATTTTTCATAATCTATTACAAATTATATAGGTAATAAATTAAAAAAAAAATATTAACATGAGCAATTATATTCAAATCATAGATAAAAAAATCAAAAATTTTTTTTATTATTTTCCAGTAGTTTGAATCAAATAATACATAATACAAGGTTCAGTGCATTTTATTAGTTTATCTAAATGCTTGTTAAATCAATTTTTCGTTTCTACACTTTCAAAAGTTAAAGATGAACAACAACTTCTGACTCAACAGATAGGTCTATAGAATTGAATTTGTATAACATAATTTATATTTACAATAACTAACTCGTATGTCTAGATTCATGTTTAATTGATATAAAACATCTCATTTCTTAGAAGACGATAGAAACATTCTATTAAAAAAAATCAGTCTGCAGACAGACTGAGCAATGAGACCACAATCAATGACAAATTTAAATTCAATCAGTAAAGTTGCATTTAAATAATGCTTTGATTATCGTTCTCGATGGTAATAGGCTGTGTTTTTACAAAATTCTTCACTAAAAAAAATTTATAAAAAAAAACAAGATAAGATTATGAGGTGTACCAGAATGAAAACTAAATCTGATCAATCAAC